AATTAAATGAAGAAAATCTCATGCATAATTCTAAAGTGGAAGGTGGATTTCTACCTTTACTTTTAAGTTTTTTAGCAAGTGCTGCTCCAGTAATTGCAAAAACTACTGCAACAGCATTATTAGCTGGAACAGCTGCAGCTGCTGGAAATGCTATAGTTAATAAAATTGCTGGAAAAGGTGTTTTGTATATTAAAGATAATAAAAGATATATTAAAGCTAGAAAAGTAGGAAAAGGATTACTAATAGATGAATGGAAAAAAGGAAGGTATTTAGGAAATGGGTATTACTACTATTATGGAAAAGGAACTGGAAACGATAAACAATATAAAAAAGTAGGAAAAGGTTTAATATTAGGTGAAAATTCACCATTTAAAAATATCCCATTATTAGGTTGGATTCTTTAGGTTCTGAAAGGATCTAGATATAAATATATATTTATAAAAATATATATTTCATTTAGCATTTATCACTTTGTGGTCTACCATTTAATACAGATAAAGGAAAATAAAAACGATCAAAACCATTTCTATATTTTCCATTTTTCACATCTGATGATAAATCAATAACAATAAATTTATGTGGTTTTGACCAAACTATTTTACAAAAGTTTTTAAACTCTTCTTTTGACATATCATTTGAAACATGATCATTATAAATATGATTTACATTTTTGGAATCTTGTTTAAACAAGCATATAAAATTTGCATTTTCTCTTATTGTTTTCCTTGGTAGCATAAAATAATTTTGCGCTAAATAAAAACAATCTACATTACTATGCCTTCCTCTTATATAGTACTTTTCACACTTGTTTTGCTTTGTTAATTGTAAATCATCGAATATCATTAAATTATTTTTAGTAAGATCAAGATCTTCAGGTTCTGGTACATCATCTGCTGTTTCATAAAATTGACACTCCATATCTATTTTATTTTTTAAATTTTTTGAATGAACTTCAATTACAAGATCAGGGCTGATATCCATCTTATCTATTTTATCTTGTAACTTAAATATTTTAAGAATATCTTCTTTTGGTACTTTTTTTTCAAAAGAACTTTTTAATATTTTATATTCAGGTTGAAAAAGAGATTTTCCAAAAACTTGTAAATTATTATAGTCCAACCAATCAGGTCTTATAAGTAAATTCAATAATAAATTTGTTTTTCCACAACCAGACTTTCCAACTATAAGTCCTCTTATACTTCTTGGTAATAACTCATTATTATGACAATTATTTTTATTTACATTATATGATAAATCTAATACTTCCATTTTCTTATATAAATAATTTTTTTAAATTAAATAAATTAAAATACATATATAAAAAAATGTATTGCGTTAAATGTAGAAACAAAACAGATACACTCAACTTACAACATGCTGTGAGTAAAAACAAAAGAAATATGCAATGTGGAAATTGTGCACTATGTGGAACAAGAAAATGTCAATTTACAAAAGGAACTAAAGGTGGTGATTTGGTAGAATCTATTAATAAATTTACAAGTAATAGAAAATTACCTTTGCAAAAGTTTCCAGGTGAAATGCATATACCAGGTATGAACTTTGCAGGACCTGGCACTAATTTAGATGAAAGATTAACTTCTACTGAAATGCCTAAAGAATGGAGCATGCCTGTAGATAGAGTTGATAAAGCAGCTTATATTCATGATCTTGCTTATAAGCATTATCCAGACAAAGAGCATAGAAATTTAGCTGATAAAATGATGCTTGAACAAATGGATACTATACCTAATCCTACACCACGTGAAAAATTGGAAAGAAAGATTATAAAACCTATCATATCTGCTAAAGTAAGGTTTGGTATGGGAAATAAAGAACCAATGAGTATTAAAGAATTATGTCAAAAAAACTACCAGCGCACAGGAAAAAAGCAAACGACCTGAAATGGACTGATGAACTTGCAAATGAACTTCATAAACCTGTTATAAAACATTTTAGAAAAAGAAAAGTGATTGTAAATGGAATTGATGAAATATGGGCTGCTGATTTAGTTGACATGCAAGCTTATTCTAAATTTAATAATGGTATAAAATACTTATTAATGGTAATTGATATATTTTCAAAGTATGGATGGATAATTCCACTGAAAAGTAAAACTGGAGTCGAAGTTGCTAATGCATTCAATAAAATCTTTAAAATTAGGAAATGCGATAAATTATGGGTTGATAAAGGTTTGGAATTTTATAACAAACATGTTAAAGCATTAGGTGTGCAGCTCTATTCAACTGAAAATGAAGAAAAAAGTTGCGTTGTTGAACGATGGAATAGAACAATGAAAGAAAAAATGTTTAAATACTTTTCTGCTAATTCTACTAGAAAATACATTGATGTTTTAAATGAAATGGTAAATCAATACAACAACACAAAGCATTCTTCAATTAAAATGACTCCAGCTGAAGCAAGCGATAAAAAGAATGAGAACATTGTTTGGCTGAATCTAAATGGTAAAGTGATATCTAATCCTATCAAACCCAAGTTTTCAATAGGTGATAAAGTGAGAATAATTAAAAAGAAAGGAGCGTTTGAAAAAGGATATACACCAAGATGGACTGAAGAAGTATTCACAGTATCACAAGTTCAGTACACAGATCTACCTACTTATAAAATAACTGATTATAATAATGAAGAAATGCAAGGTACTTTTTATAAACAAGAACTACAAAAAACAAGTCAAGAGATATTTAGAATTGAAAAGGTTATTCGTAAACAAGGTAAGAAATCATTTGTAAAGTGGTATGGGTATCCTGATACTTTTAACTCATGGGTTGATAATACAGAATTGAAAAGTTTATAGCGAAGCAAGGATCGCTTTGCGATCTAAATAATTATCTTAAATATATAAAAAATGAACAACTCAAATGTAAATGTGAATATATGCGTATCAGCTACTTCTGGCAATGCTAATACAAATACTACTGTAACAGCTTCTTCATATTCTACAGCATCTACAAGCAAATAAACAAATCGACGCATGTGCACTGAGCAGAGCATAAAACCAATCTGAAAATCACGTGACGTCACGCAATAGAAACGAAATTGATACTAATTTTTTAGCGTAGCATTGATCACGAAGCGACCTAAAACTTTATTTCTTAGTTATATAATTTATACACACTATGCTTGAAAATGAATCATATATTTTAATTAAAATATATGATTGAAAATATGGTTGAAAATGAAAAATGAGCAAAAACCGGCATTTTCCTACTACTCGACACAAAGATCGCAAAAGGTGACCAACAGAGCCATCCAGTTACATAGACCTGGGAGATGTGAAAATAAAAACAGATTGTAGATGATGTCATTAGGTAAAAAAAACACAAATTTATGTAAAGACTATTTAGTAGTAGGAGTAAAAATTAGCGACTCAGGAGGAGAGGAACCATAACTCACATTCTAGTCATCTTAAGCAAATGATAAAACAATGATGTATGAGTAAACAATTCAATATAAATCTGCTGGTTTATTAATGGTATCTATTACTAAAATAATCGCACAATACAAAAACAATAAAATAAATAGATAACAAAATAGTAAGTAAAATGATAATAAATGACAGGTGGATCAATATTAAAAAAATGATGTCAAATAAATGTGGTACTATATATGTTCTGAACTCTAGATAATAGATTGAGAACTGATAATCACCTGTATAACATAAAAATATATAAATGTCGTTAATGTAACAAATTCATAATAAAAAGCTTACAAAGCAAAACTTCATGGGTGTAAGAGGTAAAAAAATGTTGGTGCTATAATAACCAATTACAATTAAGTAGTGGATAAATGGTGATCCCCCTCCTCAGGAATGCACTGCGATCACCAATGACATTCCGGAGAGCCCGATACCTGCACTAACGCCACTCGTCAGGGGCGTGTCCTTGCAATAGATCTCACCGCCTGCACTCTAATAAGTATTTGTTTACAAACAAATACTTATTAGATTATTAGTATTATTCATTAAAGTTTACTAGTTCCTTGTCAGCATTTAATGTAGAGAGATTCTAAGCAATCAATATAAGATGATTTTTTATTATGATTGGAATAGTATTATCAGCCACTTAGTATAGCCTACTCTAGTATAGTTTTCGTTTATGATCATTGTATGCACAAATACACCTATATAATTTATATTTTGGACAAAAATTAAATTAGTTATAATTTAGTTATAAAACTCTATAGACTGTATAAGAATGTTTATTTGTAATATCATGTTTAAGAGATTAGATTATCATAAAAATTATTAATGTAGATGAGAAATAAGGGAATCAGATTTAACATCAATTCCTTTTATAAGCTTTCACAGAAGAGAGATCAGATTTAATTGTCTTTGATAAGCAATCAAAATGTGATGACTTTTTATCAAGACTAGAATATAAAGTCGAGTTTTCAGTAAACAGAGTGTCTTTAGATGTAAAATTGTCAAGAAGATCATTAGTAAAGATGAAGAAAAATATGAGACTAAAAAAGAACTTTGTGGTGCACCAAGGATTGCTGGAAATGAAGTGTTATGTTCTTCATTAAGGTTAAATTTACTTTTACTGATAAACCATGTTAAATAAGTTTATTGAGAAGCACAGCATGCCAGAATTTAAAAAGTTTTTAGTTTGTCAAAAACAATGGCCATCATCAAGCTTCTCTTACTAAGGAACAATAGAATCAGAAATATTTTGATTGTTAGATAGTAAATTATTAGACCTAAAGATTAATTGCACTAAAAAACTAATATTTGTAAAAAGAATGGCTATATGTATATATATATATATATATATATATATATATATATATATATATATATATATATATATATATATATATATATATATATATATATGTATATATATATATATATATATATATATATATATATATATATATATATATATATATATATATATATATATATATGTATATATATGATTTTTAAATGGAAAAATAAATTGTTGTTGAACATTGATTTGCATAGATTTTTGTTAATGCAGGTATTCCACATGCAATTTGTTTACAATCAATGCCAGTGCATCATACCTTTTTGCAAACACAAAAGGTAATTTAAACACTGCTATATTCTTTGATTCTACAGATGTAGCTGTTTTTTGTTTATTTTCTCCATTGAATGTGATAACAAACCCAGTTGTTTCATTAGATGGAAAAATTTATTTATCTCTCAGCAAAAATTTAGCTTTAAACATAAATCAAAATAAAGGATCATATATGGTATACTTAATTGATTGGGGAGATGGTAATTATGAAATCGAAAATCAAACCATGAATCAAAATCCAGTTCCATTCCAAATACAGCATAAATATAATAAAGAAAATAACTACACTGTTAATGTAACATGTTACAACTTGTTGCAAAATTCAAGCTTTCTGGTTCAAATTGTTGTGGAAAACTGCTCAGTCCCTGAGGTCAGTTTTTATTACGGAACAGTTACAAGTCCAATGAATATTATTCGTAGTATTGGAGGTGATATAACAGCATTTGTTGAAAATATTGATAGTTTTTGTAAACTTGAAACTTTCAGTTTTAAATGGAATCTTGAAAGTTCCACTTCAAATACTTCTGTTTATGGCTTTTTATCCCAGCAAAAAGTTACTTACTCAATTAAAAAAAATTCACTTGATATTGGCTTTTATATATTAACATTGCAATATATTTATGGACATGTTACAAATGTTTATTCTGCATACATTAATGTTGTATTTTCTCCATTGCATATAAAAATTGATAATGGGTTCTTTTCTACTATTGCTTATAAAAAGAAAGTTGGAAATGACACTTTATATCAAAACTTTACCATAAGTGCAAAGTCTAGTTATGATCCAGATGATCCATCAAGTGGCGCTCAAAATATTATCTTTAATTGGAAATGTAAAGTTGCTTTAAATTTTTCAGTTGCTCAAGAAATTATGGCAAATTATACATCTTTAAACTTGACTAACCTTAGTGACACTTGCTTTGATCAAAATTGGCTTAGCATTTCATCTATTACTCCAGAAGTATCTTTTAATACACAACAGTTTCTGGAGGGTATGACATATCATTTTGAAGTTTGTGGATCAAAGTATGAAGGAAAAGATGTGGAATTGTTAGAAATAAGCAAGACAAGTTGTTTTACACAAGAACTTCAAATAATTGCTGGTGGTCTTCCAACTATTTCTGTTAGGTGAGTCATGTCTTTATTTAGTGGTTTGAAAGTAAATTTTGTAAGACAATATCTGAAACCTCTTTTTTTTTTCTTGTTTTGCTCACCTATTTTTTTTTTTTTTTCTACCATCCTATTTGTAACAGTATATTGGTAACATACTTTTAAACAATGACATAAAACAGTGTTTTTAATAATTGTTTTTACTTAAAATTTTTAATCTTATAAATCTTATTAAGTAAAATCGCTTTTACTTTTTTTGAATAAAAAAATAAATAAAACATCCTTTTAAAACACTGTTTTTTTAAACGAGTTTTAAATTTTTATAAAATCTAATTAACAAGAACGTAGTGTGTGTGTTTTTAATAAACAGATTGTAATTTTGCAATAGTTAGGGTTGCATTTTTTAATTAAAAAAAAATTATTTCTTAAAGTAAATAAATTACAAAACTATTTTATATATCTTAAAAATAAATAAAAGATGGGGTCCTAATGAGCTTCAGGAAAAAATTCAGAAACTTTACTATCAATATATATATATATATATATATATATATATATATATATATATATATATATATATATATCAACCCTTGGTATTAGAAAATTGAGGTCGGCAATACTTTGCCGACCTCAATTTTTTATAGGTCGGCAGCTAGGTCGGCATTGCCAAATGCCAACCCTAATTCCGAGGGTTGATATATATATATAAACACACATTATAACTACTAACACTTGTGTTATTCTTTATACCAAGCATTTGGTTAGTAATTTTGTTGCCATTATATACATTTTTGACACTGTTTAAATTCTATTCTATTTTGTTTTAGGTAATGTCTTTTTTTTCAAGTATGGAACTGCAAACATCTTTAATTTTTCCAAGTTTGCACTCTTTTAGAATTTCCTAATCAGAGACAATATTCATTTAAATAATCTAAATCCAGGCACAACATTTCAAACTGATATTTCAATTGATTTTACATATCAGTTAATCTATTTTAAATGTTGATATTGAAAATTAGTTCAAAAATCTGTTTTAAATATTTTGCCTGGATACAGAATGCGTTAATGAATACAAAATTCCTCTGCCTCTGAAATGCCTCTGAAGACAAAATTCAAAATTAATGCAAATTTTTATATAGTTTTATGTTAACTTTATGCAGTAAACAGTAGAATTTGTTGTTAGTGATAACTTTATAAATGAAATCATAGAGATGAAATAAATAAAACAAAATTGAAATAAGAAAAAAAGCCTTTTTCTTGTTTCAACTTTCAGTATTGGAATGTAAAACTGAACCAGAGTATTTTTTTTTTTTTATAATCACATAGATATTGATTTTATTGTTCAAAAAGTTGATGAAGCAGTTTGTTCAAGTTTCATCATCTGTGAGTTCAGACATCCAGACATCAAATCAGACATTCAGACATCAGACATCCAGACGTCCAATTCAATTCTTTGACAAATTCTCTATAACACTCACGTTTTTTTAAATCATTTTTTGTACAATAATGCCAAGTTTTAATTGCTAACAAAATAATATATTCCACAATTATGCCAAGTTTTAATTGCTTTCCAAAATCACATTTGGAATGAATAACTATTTATTGCGTTTTAGATTAAATACTAGATTATTAAGTAACCTTATTACAAATACAAGTAAGAGACCAAGTGTTATTAAGTAAACTTATTATAAATACAAGTAAGAAACCAAGTGTTATTAAGTAAACTTAATGCAAATACAAGTAAGAAATCAAGTATTATTAAGTAATATAATAATCATAAGTAATAATTAAGTAATAAATAATCATAAAACTTTCACCATGGCAATAACAAATTGAATGATTCTTCTATTTATGTGAAGGGTTTGATTAAATAGTATTTAATTTTGTTTAGTAAGTTTTTTATTACTTGTAACATGAGCGTTTAATCAAAATCAAAATGTTATTTTTAAAATTTTGTATTTCATTACAACATTAGACATGGTGGCCACAGTCCTGGAATGTCCTGGAATGTCCTGGATTTTTGCAAGTGTCCTGGAATGTCCTGAAATGTCCTGGAAAATTACATTTTTTTCAAAAATGTCCTGAAATATCCTGGAACTTTTTTTTTTTCTGAGTCAAGTTAAAAAATTACTAAGAATATTAAATTACTAAGTAATATTAAATTTTTTATGCAAAATTTTTTTTTATATAAATGGTTTAAATTTAATTTTAAAAAAAGAGAGTAATAATTGTATAATAATATAATAATATAAAGAGTTAAAACACAAAGAAACTTTAGCTAGCTAAAGTTTCTTTGTGTTTTAACTCTTGGTTATGCGATTCATCATTCAAGTTTCTTGTTTGATAAAATTGCAACAATTTTTTGTTATTATTATTTTTTTTAGTTGCTTCTTTTTTATCTAAGGTGGTCAGTGTAAAAATTTTATTTGGTTTTCCAGTTTTGATATATATTTATATATTTTTAAACATCTTCACTTCCAACAAGGCTGCAAGCAACCACTATTAGAGTTGGACATTGCTGGAAAAAAAGAAATAAAGTTTATAAAGCAAGATAACGGTTAAAAGATGACTTGAAAGATTGCAAATTATATGAATCAGTAATATAAGATGAAGGGAGTGAATTCTAAAGAACTGATGTTAAAGAAAAAAAATAAGATGAATAAGAATTTTTGGAGCACTTAGGAACAGTCACAGTAAGAAGATGAGACTTAATTTGATGACGAGTAATACAAGAATGAATTTTAGTAGATGAAGAAATTACAAGAGCATTACAAGAGATGCTAGCTCTTTACAAACATTACAAGAAATGCTAGCTCTTTAGAACAGTGTCCATAATAGTATTTATAGAAAAGAGGAAAAAAAACAACATTACAACAATGTGACAATAGTTGAAGGCTGGTTGCAAGAGCAGGTGTTTATAATGCATTTTTGCGCTTTGTCCAAAAGAGAAAAGGCATCATTAGAAGATCCGTTCCAGATATGGCAACAATATTCCATACAAGGATGGATTTGAGATTTATAGAGATAAAGAATTGAATCATGAGTAAGAAAGTGGCAAGCATTATAAAGAAATGCAACCTTAGCAGATGCTAATTTTGCAATGGATTTGAAATATGGTTTCCAAGAAATATCGAAAGTAAGTGCCAGAAGGCGAAGAGTAGATGACTCATCAAATACATTACCGTTCATATATATAGGAAGATCTAGACTGTTGTGATCATAATTAGCTAAAAATATTTGAGTTTTATTTGGCTTTAAGTTCACCAGCCAATGAAAGCCCCATGATGTAGCAGAAGTGAGATTCTTTTGGAGCTCAAATGCCCCTCCAAGCAATCAGAGAGTTTTGGCTTCTTATCAAGACAAGAATAAATTATAGTATCATTAGCTAACAATGGCATCTTAGATGTGAGGGTTTCTGGGAAATGGTTAATGTAAATTAAAAAGAGTATAGGGTCAAGGATAGTCCCTGAGGAACCTTAAAGTTACAGGAAATGAAGAAGAGTGCTGCTCATCGAGGACAATTTTTATACTACAATGGATAAGAAAGAATTCAATAATGTTAAAGGTGTTACCTGATACACCATAAGAAGAGAGCATATGGAGAAGACCAGCATGCCAATTTTTATCCAAGGATTTCAAAATTTTGAGCGCAATAGCCTTAACCTCTCCACATCTATCTAATTCACGATAAACCTATCTGTTATTACCGATAGGTTTTATCGTGATTTCAACTCAAGGTTAATCTTGAAGAAAATTACGGAAAGAGACCCAGTGAGTTTTAAGGTAGTTGTAAGAGGTATGATGATAGGGGGATTCTGATGATAATGAAAAATAGGATAATAGTTTTAGAGAGATCAAACCGTGATCAGAAGCATGTGGAGAAACTGACCACTGACTAGGATCAGAAACAAGAAACTAGTTGAGCAGAAAAAGTAAATATTTGGATTATCTGGAAAGCGAGTTAGAAAGTTGACTATTTGTGTTAGAGATTGAGAAATGCACAAGTTGTAACTCTTAACACCTGCAGAGTCACTAACACCATTAAAGTTACTAACAACAATAGTATTGGCTGAAAGATAAAGAGAAAGGGCTCGGTCAGTTTGATCAGAAATAACATCAAAAAGTCTTGAAATGAAGAAGAGCAATATAGAACAAAGAGAAGAGTGATAGAGTAAAGTAAGCCAAACGAAAGCACATAAACAATATTCTGTGGATTCAAACTTAGTTTCCTGTCAAATGGGTGAGTTTTTACAAATGTAAATACCCAGGCCAAGCATGTGACTATTGGAGTCTTTACGAATTAAAAAAAAGATAACCATCAGCATTAAGATCTTAAGATGAGACAGCTGAACTAAAATTAGTCTCAAAAAGAGACTAATTTAAAAAAAAAGCAAGTAGGTCTGGTGAACTTTGCAAGAGATAAGACTCAACAGAAGAAAGGTTATTTCAAAGACAACAAATATTAGTGAATGATAGATTTAGACAACTTGGTGGTGAAGTTGGTTTTTTATATTATATTATATATATATAATATTATTTTATATTATATTATATTACATTGTATATATATATATATATATATATATATATATATATATATATATATATATATATATATATATATATATATATATATATATATATACATATATATTTTATACTGTTGAGTTAGGTGAGCATGATGATGTCATATTCACCTAATATCAAATAGCCTGCTGCCGGGGGCTTCAGTACATACATCGACTGACAAATAGCCTGACTCGTCGTGGAGTGCTGCTACATCGACTGAGGGTTTGGTATGGGTCAGCAACATTTTCATTCATTATTCTTTGTTTTCCCTCATCGTTTTCTAAAAATGCTCACTTAATTTAGGCTAGCAAAAAAAGTGAGCAATTGCGCATATAAATATGCTATAGTAGATATATATATATATATATATATATATATATATATATATATACATATATATATATATATATATATATATATATATATATATATATATATATATGTATATATATATATATATATATATATATATATATATATATATATATATACATATATATATATATATATATATATATATATATATATATATATATATATATATATATATATATATATATATATATATATATATATATATATATATATATATATACATATATATATATATATACACATATATATATATATATATATACATACAAGCCTTCCCAGGAAAGGCGTGGGGTTTATTTTCTTGTATGACCACGAAAACTTTTTCAAGTCAGAGAACATGATCACGGCCGTTTGCGCAAGTTATATTATATGCGTTACTGAAAAATTGTTTTAAATTTATTAACTGCATAAGAAATTAAAGTAAACTTAAATAGAAAACAACAATAATAGTTTAAATAAATTGTGTGTTGTTTTTATTTTTGTTTTTTCTTAGTGGTTATTATTATCGGCATCAAAATTCGGTAAGTCAAAGCAAAAAAAAAAAAAGAAAAAAAAAGAAAACGGTTTTAGGCGTTAAAAAGGATGACTTTCCCATGTTTTATGTGTTTTTTCTTTTAAAGAGGAAAGAGAAAATATGTATCATCATCTGTTTGTAAAATATATTTGTATAATTATAATGTAACAAGTTTATATCAAGAGTAAAATTATATGATGGCGTTTGCAAACTCTGGTAAAATATTAGGTCTTTAAAATTTTAGTTCATGCAAAGCTGTGTACTTTGTTTATAAGGAGCAAATTATTAAAAGTTTGCTAGCGAGAAAGTTACAAAAAACAAAACAAAAACAATAAACTTACGACTACAAAAGTAATAACACTTTAGTCACTAACTGCATTATAAAAGTAATAAAACTATAATAGTGTTATTACATTTATAAATCACTTATTACTTTTAAAGTTCATTCTTTGTTCAAACAACATTAATTCCAAACATTTATTAAAGTAGAAAAGAATCTTAAAAAAATAAAGTGGATATTCAAATATTATTAAAAATTTTAGGAACTTTCACATATCACTTAAACAACATTATAAAATTATATTTTAATTATATTTTAAAATCAACGAATAAAAATTTTTTATTGGTTAATTTTAAAATTAACGAGCATTTTTACGATCCATTAATAACGTTTTTCATAATGCTAAATTTTTAATTCGATGCGTTTTCATAAAGTTGTTTGTCACGATTTTATCAGTTCCTTTAGTTTTAATATTATTTGAACATCCACTTTATATTTCTAGATATTTTTCTACTTCAACTAAAATTTGGGAATACTAATGTTGTTTGAACAAAGAATGAATTTTAAAAGTTTTAAGTGCGTTATAAAAGTAATAACACTATTATAGTGTTATTATTTTTGTAATGCAGTTAGTGACTAGAGTGTTATTGCTTTTGTAATAGTAAGTTTATTGTTTTATTTTTATTTTTTTGCTAAATTAAAGTTAATTCTCCCCTTAAAAACAAGGAACACAGTTATGTATAAACTAAAATTTTGAATACTAGATATTTTTTTCAGATTTTGCGTTTTGCATTCGCTTAAATCAACCCTTGTTGTATTCTCTTAAAAAAAAAAATTAAGGAAAGGAAAATAATTCTTTTTATAAAATTTATTCTTTTGTAGACTTCAAACTGACTTCAACAAAATTAGATAAGACTTTGCCTTATTTAATTTTGTTGCTGAATTTAACTCTAAAGAAACAAAAATAAAAACAGTACACAAATTATTTAAATTATTAATTTGCTTTTATTTTTTTCTATTTAATCTCTTTTTATTTTTGTTAGTTTTGTTTTTTTGTTTTTGAAACTTTTTCCGCACTATTATAAAACTTGCAAACGGCTGTGTTCACGTTTTCTAAAATATTATAATCGTGTGTGATCATACGAGACGAAAAACTGCACGTCTTTTCTGGGAAGGCTTATATATATATATATATATATATATATATATATATATATATATATATATATATATATATATATATATATATATATATATATATATATATATATATATATATATATATATATATATATATATATATATATATATATATATATATATATATATATATATATATATATATATATATATATAAATTTATATATTTATATGTGTATATATATATATATATATATTATATATATATATATATATATATATATATATATATATATATATATATATATATATATATATATATATATATATATATATATATAAAGCAAGTACAGCATGTACTTGCTTTATATATATATACATGTACAAGCAATGCAAATTTTTACAAATATTTAATATTTTATCAAAACCTTCAGGTAAGTGGTTGTTTTTTATCAATCAGTTAGTTTAGTTTTGTAATAATAAAGTTTTTGTACTGATTTTATTCATGTACTTTACTTATCATAGTTTGAAATTTTTCTTTTGTTATCTGATTTGTTACTCCTATTTATTAACTGATTAAACATTACACTTTAATAGTTTATTGTTTAAAGATATTAGAACTGATATGTTTGTTATTATTTATTAGGTGCGTTTCAAACTGCAATGAAAAACTGAATTTTAAAGAGCGAACAATTTATTCATATTTATGTGAAGATTGTGGTTCTCAAAAGTATGTTGTTCAATATCTTAAAAGTATCATATTTAAAAACCTAAACAGTAGTAGCACTGAAAAAGTTGAGTCATTCAAATGACTGAAGTGCAAAAAAAGTTAACAGTTTAGCAGAAAACTTTCAATTTAATTAGGTTATATACAAAGTTACTCAATATTTCAGTTGTGAATATTTGTAATTTTTAGATTAACGGCAGAGTGGAAGATAACGGATGATGCTAGTAATGTTCCTGTTGAAATTATGTCTCAAGATGCTACAACAACTGGTTTCTTGACCCCTAGTCTTGTAATTAATAAAGACATTCTGCTTGAAACAAAAAACTATACATTTACTTTAACAGTTGGTTTTACAGACTCGTTAAAACGAGTAAGGTTTGAGTTTACAAAGACTACAAGCTCTAAGCCATCTTTAGGAGTTTGTTACATCAAGTGAGTGCCTGTTTTTTTATCAATCAGTTATTTTAATTTTTGTTTTAAATAAATTTTTGTTAGTTATTTGTTAATTAATTGAATTATGAATTTAATTTTATTATTTAATTATCATTGTTATCATTGTCATCACAAAATAAATTATAAAATTATAAACAAAAAAAATTTCCATTAAGTTTTTTATTATTTTATTTTAACTTTTCTTTTTTTATTTTTGAACCTGATTAAATGAATGGTTTTTTTGAATTAAAGTAAAAATAAATTAGTAAGATTTTACTTTACAACTATGAATTATTTATTTTGTATTTATATTACTTGTTCATTTGTTGATGAAACATTTATTAAGAAACATGATTTCATATGGTGGTTTTAGACGACTTTTATATGGTGGTGACAACTTTTAAACTATGATTGTAAAATAGGCCTGGTATTTTTTTCTTTTTATTTTTGAGAAAAAATCAATAGCTTGGCAATCATGGAAGTTGGTTCCATAAAAAATGTTATTTTATGTAATTTTCAAAGTAATTAACATCAGTTATGTGTTTGTTGCCCTTTTTATCTCAATAGTTTGAAAAAATGTGTTTTAATAATGCAAATAACATGATATTAAATAATTTATATGTAAGAATTTGTCTGACTTTGATTACCAATATTTCACTCTGTAAAGAAATCCTTACTATCCCATAGAAGAGCGTTAAATCCTTACTATCCCATAATAAGATTTTCCTGAAGATTAATAAATATTAGGCTGTCCCAAAACTTTCACATTTTTAAAAGCATTTTAAACAAAAAAATTTTTTTTCATTTCAACAAAGTTATTGCTATTTTTAATAAATTTTTTATTAAAAATAGCAATGCTAAAAGCATTCTTAATTGTAAACCAAGAATATTTATTTGCATCAAGATTTCAAAAATAAAAAAAGCATAGCAATGCATAGCAATAATTATGCTAATTATTCTACTATGAAGTGACTTCAACATGTCTTAAATATCAATATATTCACATATCAATAGTTATGATAAATTATGTTGTGTTTTTAAAAATAATAAAAAAGTTTGAGAATTAATCTTCATTTAGAGTTATATTAAAGAACATTTTAATATAATAGAAATGTATGATTTATGTGTAATAGAAATGAATGCTTCTAATGTGACTAAAAAATTAAAATCAAGTTAAGCCAGAAAAACAAGGGTATGTGATTTGTCACTTGAGTTTTCCTATGGTTCAACATAAAATAGTAGACATAAAACTTGTATACATATATTTTTTTTCAATTAAATTTAGTTGCATTGTAATATTGCTGATATTGGTTTCCTCTATAAATGATTTTAAAACCAAGCATTGTCAGAGAGATTACAGACACTTTAGATGATTAGATTCAATGTCATTAATAATTAGAAAGCTTTTAATATTTATTTTTTAAAAATCAAAACTTTTTGACAGCAAGCTATAAAATTTGTGTAAATCTCTCTCTGCTAGAAACCTCCCTTTGCTAGATCTTTCTTTGCTAGAAACCTCCCTCTGCTAGGTCTTCCTCTGCTAGAAACCTCTCTCTGCTAGATCATCCTCTGCTAGAAACTTTTTTCTGCTAGATCTTCCTAACGAAACAAAAGATCAAGATATTTTGCCAATCATGGATTATCATTCAGTTCTTGTAGTTAATAACAGCCTATTTTTTCAATTAACAACATTCTCTATCTAACTTTTATTATAATAATAAATTTTTGTCAAAGTAACTCTTGTATTTTGTTAGCTACCATCTTTTATTTTGAAAGCTATGATCTGTTCACACAAACTTAACATCTATAGGTTACCAATGACTGGAAAAAATCAACTTTAAAACAATGTGTGCTTTTTAAAAAAACTGCTTAAAAATACTGAAACTTGAAGTGGAAAGCTTATTGCTACATTTGAAAACCTCAATGCAGTCAAACAGATATGTTTTGGGAACACCCTTAACTCCTTTTATTGATATTCTATATTTTCTTTTAAGAATACCAAGTTTTAAATTAATTTTTTTTTTATGTTATTCAATTCCCAGGGAAAGAGAAGGCCACTACAGATGAGGAGGCCACTTAACTGTGGTTACAACCCTCTCTCAACTCAAAATACGAGTCTTGGCAAACAAGACAGCTGCTGCACAGAGAAACAACTTGAGTGTGGTACTACCAGAGACGTGGTAGGGATTGAACTCATAACCTCTTGCTTATGAAGCAAGTGCTCTACCACTACACCACAACAATATTATGCCTAATTATAATTACAATACCCAGTTACACCTAAATTTCATGTTGTTAATAAACACATAAGTTTATTGACAATCAAGCTAAAAAGTAGAAAAAACTCAGAAAAAACATCTATCAGTTCAATGAAAAAATGTGCATGGAACCATGTTTATGTGCATTGAATTATGTTTATTTGCATAGAACCATGTTTATGTGCATAGAACTATGTTTATGTGCATGAATTGTACTTTTTATTGAAGTTTATTTGTATTATAATATAATTTTTTTTACATTGAAAAAATTTTTCTTTTAAAGGTCAAACATGAGTTTTTTTTTTTATTGTGAGTTAATTATTACAAAATAAACAATTATAATTGTAAATATGCATTTGGTCTCATATGTGTAAAACATATATTTTTAGATATTTATAATTTTTTTTATTAGCCCAACGGATGGCTACGCTCTAGAAACATATTTTAAGATTGTTTGTTATGATTGGGTAGAGTTAGATGGCTTTTTAAGCTACAGGTTTTTTTATGATAACAGTCAATTACAGCAAATGGAGCTTAGTAGTTCATCAACTGTTGATTATCCTATGTTAAATGCTGCAACCACAGATCAACCTAGTTTAATTAACTTTGTGATGGGTCCTGGTGATGAGAAAAATAATTACAAAATAAGTATAATTATAAAAGTGTATGGTAAATACAATGCATACACAGAATACAACAACCTTTTTATCAAGGTAATTTAAAAGTTTTAGCATTTACAATTGGTTAATAATAAGAAAAATGTTTTAAATTGTTTATCGTTTTACTATTTATACATTTATTTTCATTTTTTTGATTTTATTTATTCATTTGCAGGTGCGTCCAAATAATAAACCAATAAATTTGACAGAATTGCTAAATAGAATAAATTTAAATGATACACAAAGTATAGCTAATATTGTTCAAGCAATTAGCTCTGCTACAAACAAATTGTCAGCAAGTTATTACAATAACACACCAATACCTTTAAACAAGTTTACAAACATGGTTGATGATGATGCCATGATTTTAAGAAATTTAGAAAAGCAGGAAGAATTATCTCGCTTACAAAAGGTAAGTTAAAAAAAAAATACACACCATCAATTATTTTTGTTTTTGGTTTAAAATTTTAAATATTAGGTTTCAAATACTAAAGTTTGAAAAATCGAAAAAACCTCATAAATAAGGTGGTTACAAAAGTGAGAAGGCTCTCAACAAAAAAGGGGTTCTCAAAAGTGAGAACCTTTTATTTTTCCAGAGTCTTTAATAGTTTTATCCTAAAGTTTGGCTTTTCCATTCATAATAATACAATTTCCAATCCAAACCCAATCCAAATGCAATCAAAAATTCAATATAATAAAAATATGATCAGTCAAACTATTAATTACAAGATTTTGCTTAAACCTTTCCATATTCAGTCATTTTAACCATAGTTTTAGGATCAAGATGTAAACTTGGTTTTCTTCAGTATTTTAAAAACAAGTTTTTACTCTAATTTAAAACTACAATAACTAAAGCTAGTATTAATCAAAATTAAAGAGATTTGGAGGAATTCCAAACCATATCAAATGTCTCAACTATTTCGTAAAAATGTTTGGGGGGGGGGGGGGAATGTAAAAATTGAAATGTTCAGAGCACTAATAAATCATCTGTGTGATATTTGCTGAGGGTGATGAATACAAAAACATCTACAAAGATAACAAATTTTACCCAAAGCCACAAAAGAAAAGAAGTAAGTTGCTAACCATTATTTTTTAGTTAAATCCAAAAATGCAAATGGAATTGTTCACTGATGTTATTTATTGCCTACACCTCAGCGTTAGAGACATTGGTTATTGACGCAAAAATAGTTTAAGTTGTCTGCACCTGGAACAGTTAAAAACGTTCAATAAACATTAAAAAATTATATGTTTATGGTGAACAAAATAAAGAACAAGAAAATCAATTAAGAAAAGAATATGCAACCGTCCACTTCATTTGGTCACTAGGATAGCAGCATGTTTTGTTTCTTATCGTTAAATTTATTCAAACACCATCAATTTAATACGTAGATATTAAAGTTTTGAGAAAACTTTTATTATTTTAATTTTTCACATGACATAAAACATGTTGTCATGCAAGTGGGTAAGATGGGTTGTCAGAAAAATTATAAATAAATGTTCTTTGGATTCCTACAAATTCCAAATGCAACAGATTAGTTCAAAAGGATCAATTCATTAATCATTTTAAAAAGTGGAGTCTGTGGTTAGATTGCTATTTACTTTGACACAACAAATAATAACACCTACCAGAAGGCAGGGTGTGCTGCTTTAATTGAATAGGAGATCGGTTGTGCAATTTCTAGGAAGCAGTTATTGGAAGCATGATGGATCAATAGAGGAACATCTGGGAAACAGATATTTTAAGTTATGATGGACCATTCTAGCTTCTACTAAAAATGCTTTAGAATAACATGGATTATATTTCCAAAAAAAAAAAAAAGCAGATATTATGTTTCAAATTCCTGCATATGGAGTAAACTTGATTCATTATCAAGCAAAACTTGTCTTTAGATAGGCCAGCAATTGCCTACAAAAGCATAAATTTCAAAAAGAAAGTTAATGATTATTGATATCGTTTTAAAGATATTGATATTGATATTTTCCTGGAATAAGTTGGTCTAATAGTTCAATAAATTCAATTAAAGAATTGTCAGAAATTGAGCATATTTTTTATAAAATAATAAATGACAATTACTTATATCAGCATGTTAACATACCAACATTTCTAACAACATATAAATCTGCTGTAAATATTTTAGATTTAATATTCACTACTCAGTCAGCAAATATAAGTGCCATTGATAGTAAATTTGTTTTAGGAAACATATCAAGGGGTCATTTGATATTGTGCTTTGATTTTATTCTTAAAAATAAAGCAATGAATAAAAAATACAAAGGAAAAAAAAATTTTATATAGAAAAGCAGACTATAATAGCATTAATGATTTCCTTACAAGTATCAATTGGCTTCAGTGTTTTCATACCAAGAATGTTCAAGAAATATATGATGAGATAATTCATTATGCTGAAGAAGTGTAAAACTTATATGTTCCTATAAATACCTCAAGTTTATTATCAAAGAAACTATACCTGGCTTTTAATAAAACTTGAAGCGTATGGTGTTAGTGGCTTAGCACTTCATTGGTTTCAAGCTTTCTTATCTAATAGAAGGTAGAGAGTTAATATGGGAGATTATGTCTCAACTTGGGCTGATGTGTATAGTGGAGTTCCTCAAGGATCTGTATTAGGTCCACTACTTTTCATACTTTATATAAATGATCTTCCTGAGCCTCTAAAAATTATTTCAAGATTATATGCTGATGACATAATAAACTACAATGTGATTTGAACTTTGCGTATGCTTGGACACAAGAACGGTTACTTAATTTTAAGACAAATGTTTAGTTATGCACTATGACTATAAAAATAAGAGAAGATAATAAAATAAAAAAATAAGAACCCAATTTATATAAATGGTTGTAAACTTAACATTCAGAAAAGGACCTAGGAGTGATTTTTTCAGATAACTTTAAGTGGAAAAATCAAGTCTTATCGAGTGCAAGCAAAACAAACCGCATGTTAGGTAAAATAATTTTTTTTTTTGTTCAATTTGATGCAGAACTACTAAAATCTCTATATATTTTCTTTGTTCGACCACTCCTAGAGTTTGCTGTACCAGTTTGGGCTCCTTATCAAAAACGAGATATTGCGATTTTGGAAAGTATACAGCGTTGTGCCACTAAATTGGTACCCTCAATCAATAAATTATGCTATGCAGATTGACTAGCTTGTCTTAGAATGCCCTCACTAAAAAGAAGAAAGAAGACAGCATGGTGACATAATTCAATTAAAAGAAGACAGCATGGTGACATAATTCAATTGTTTAAAATTTTCAAAGGTTACGATAAAGTTAAATTTAAAGAAACTAAGTCCTTAAAATGTAATTGTACTTGTGGTCATAACTTAAAGTATTCTAAAGAATTTTCTGTACATAATTATAGAGAAAATATTTTACTAAATCGAGCTGGAAATGATTGGAATGCACTGCCAGAAAATGTTGTTTAAGCTAATTCAGTCAACTCATTTAAACCAAGACTTGATTGATGGGAGTAAAACCACCACAAGACTCAGCTGTCATAGTGTGCTTTAAAACTACACTCACTGGTAGCAATACCAGTCACAGCATAAACTAATACTAATACTAATACTATTATTATTTTAAAGATATTGATATTATTTCAAAGAAAAGATTATTATCTTGAACTGATTATTGTTTATCTTGACAGAGAATTACGAGATAAAAGAACTTTTTGTTGTAAAAAATCATATATATATTATATATATATATATATATATATATATATATATATATATATATATTTATATATATATATATATATATATATATATATATATATATGTAGCATATATATATATATATATATATGTAGCATATATATATATATATATATAGTAGCTATATATATATATATAGTATATATATATATATATATATATATATATAGATAGATAGATAGATAGATAGATAGGTATATGAATAGATATATTTATTATAGTCACGCACAGAAATGATTGATTTACTCAGCAATGCTCCAATCAACGGTATGAGTTCATTTAAATCGATAGGGGATGCTTTGGTTTTATCTTCACATAACCCTATGGAGTTGGTTCCTCAAACTCAGGTATTATAGTTTTTTCATAAATATACTTTTTTTTTTTCTGGTCTGCTTTTTGCTAACTTTTTCTAAAAAAAATACTTGTAACATGTAAAATCTAAACACATTAAATGTTTTAATAAAACCAATTAAAACAGTTACAACATTGTTTTTAAATGTACATATAGTTTTTTTTTTCTTAATTGCATAAAAACTTGAAACTTTTTTTTTTATATTTTTATTGCAGCTTTTATAAAATTTTAGAAAAAAATGTTACGAAAAATGCAGCAATTAGCAGTATTTTTAATTTTTTACTGCGTACAAATTTTGAGAAAACTTAGGAACCATACAATAACCATGGCAACCATGAAACAACTATTGCAACTATATAATAACCATAGGAATCATACAACAACTATAGCAACCATGCAAAAACCATAGCAAACATGCAAAAATCATAGCAACCATGCAAAAGCCATAGCAACCATGCCAAAACCATAGCAGGCTTACATTAACTAGAGGAACCATACAACAACCATAGTGTTTTAAACAAACTTTTCTTTAAAAAACCTAAAAATGTATTTATAATTTTGAAATAAATGAAACCAATAATCTAAAATAGAAATTAGTTAAAATAAGTAGTTAATTCATTAAACTAAAACCTAAAAATAAAACCAAAACTGAAAGCTCAAAAACTATAGAAAAATATATAACATATTATATAATTCAAAAATAAGGTTAAATAAAGACAAAACAGTAAATAATATGAAATTAATAAATGATAAATAATATAATCATAATGTGTGATAGTAAATAATAGGTAAAGTGATTGCAAATAAAGATTTATTTTTAACTTACAGAGCCAGGCAGCAAATATTGTTACAAAACTAGCTGATCTTTTTACAAAAGAGAATCTTCAAGATATTGGGGCCGACAGCTTTGAAACTATGACTAAACCATTTTTAAATTCAATTTCTAATTTGTTTGAGGCTAATTTTTACTACATTACACCTGGTAAGTATCGCATTCAATTATTAGTAAATTTTTTCAATTCAGTTTTAGCTATAGTAACTAACATGTTATTTATACTAATTTTAAATTAATGAAAAACAATATTTTTAAGTTAATTATTGTTAATTAAAAATTAAACATTTTTAGGAATAGCTTTTCCGACAACTCAAATGACAACATCATCGCCAAATTTAGAAGTAATTTTTTTTTTTTAATTTCTATGTATATATGCATGTATGTATGTATGTATGTATGTATGTATGTATGTATGTATGTATGTATGTATGTATGTATGTATGTATGTATGTATGTATGTATGTATGTATGTATGTATGTATGTATGTATGTATGTATGTATGTATGTGTGTATGGGTATATGTGTGTATGTGTGTATGTGTGTATGAGTGTATGTATCTCCATGTATTTATATGTGTGTATATATGTATTACAGTTTGTGTACACATATATAGAACTACATATCTTTATAATGTTTTTTTTTTTAATTATATTACTTAGATATTTTTTATTGTATTGTTGCTTTCTACTTCTTAAGTTGCACATTATTAGGCATTCATAATTAGGTCAGGTCAATGAAGATATCTAATATCTATCTAACATCAGTTATATCTTCAATAGTATTTTTTGTTATCTGTTATTTAAAAATGTTTCAGTTGCTGTGTTAGCTCACCTGTAATGTTATGTATGTTTGTGTTCTAGGGTTAAATTACTATGTATGTAAGTTTTATATAAATGTTATATATAAACCTCTGGCTTGGTGTTAGGTAACTCGTAAATGACTCTTTTATTATTGTGTTCTATTAGAACCTCTGGCATGATGTTAGCTTAATCATAAATTACTTTAATGTATGTTGATTGAGTTAATGTCACTGTTAAATGGTTGCAGTCACTGCTACAGTGACTGCAACCATTTAACAGACTATTTGCTTTTCCAGGCAACAAAAGAAGGAATTCTATTCTTTGCCTAGAAAAGCAAAGAGGCTATTGGTTAAGTACAAAACGGCTCTTGGTTAAATAATAGCTTGAGGTTGTGTCTTAATAAAAATACTCATCTAGGGCAGATACTAAATGCATCCATCTACTGTCTCATAAAAAGCCTTTTAGGCAAAGACTTTGGAGGTAAGCAGAAAAGTTATGTTGACCAGCTTCACACCCTTTTTTCATCTATAAGGCTGGCATATATATAAATCTGTGTTAAATTGTTTCCTATCTAGGAAGATAAATGCTACACTTTTTTGACTTAACTCATGGAATTTCACTTGTTCTTCATTAGTGGATATGCAATTCTTTCTGTTACCTTCTAATAAGGGTAGAGCTTGAAAACTCAATTTAATTGTTCTGAGACTGGCTGGTAGTAAGGTTTACCAAACTCTTAGATAGCTCTCTGAGGCTGATTTTATCAAAGGTTGTAAAATATCAGAGTATTAACAGTGCAATGTTGCGCATGGATGTTTTCCCTGTTACTTTTAGTGTGTATTGTATAGGTATTGTGGTGTTTTAGTGCTTTTAGTGTGTATTGTATAGGTCTCATAAAAAACCTTTTGTTATGACTGGAAAAAAAAAAACACTTGGTATAGTTTTTGTTATTTTATTTAGTTGATTAGAATAATAAATTGTTAATAGAGGTAAAAAAAATTTTTAATTAAGCTGTTACAAAAAAAAGTTGTACTTTTTTATTAGTTACTTTATTCGTTTTTAAATTTTTATTTTTAACAGACAGGTTAGTTAGACAGGCTAGTTAGATTTTTAAAATTTTACTGAAGTTACTGAAAAATTTTAGATTTTCTTTCTGCACTGATGCTGTTTTTACCACTGCCATCTGAGCTAGTGAGACAGTTGTATTTTAAGATAAAGTAATTTGGCAAACTGAGAATAATGGAGCTAAGTGTCAGAAAGCACCTTTTACTAAACTTTTTTCCAACACTTAGAAAACACTAGACTTTTTTCCAACACTTAGATCCACTTTTCTCAGTTTACCAAATCATACAATTTATCTCAAAAGTTAGGTTCTAGAGATGTTTGGAAAATCTTTAACAGTGTCATTTTCAATATAAATCTAACATTTCTTCTCCAATATATGGGTCCAATCTTACAACATTTCTCAAGGATATAACAAACTATTTGTAAAGAACTTTCCCTCTTGTTCACGTCTTGAATCTAATGACCAAGCTTTTTTCTATTATTTAGAAAAAGGGTAAACCGTTTTTCTAAGTTTTATTGAAATCACTCTGGCTTTTATTGCTTAAATTATTTCTTTATTAAACTTATACAGCTTGTGGTTCAAATAACATTTATCTGACTGTCTTGGTTAGTTTTGAATTTTAGTATATACAAGTGTTTAGCTGCATGAAAATGGCTTACCAATTTCCAGTGTGCCTGCTAAAATAAAGACACATGTGGTTCTAATTTTGAGAATCTTAGCAGAATACTTTGATCTTTTGATCTCTTTGAACTATCAACCAATCATTCTTCTCTCCAATAATCTAATCATTCTTCTCTCTTATTAGCCAGGTCTTTGAGTCTACAATTAACAAACTTCTAATATCTCACCTCAAGCTTTATGAAAGTCTTTTGATTCTCTTGTTACTGACTTGTTGACTGTTATAAAGTTTTTTCATGTAAAATTGTTTTTCTGACAACCTTACATCTAAAGTGATTCTATTTAAAGGTGACACAACGTTACACTCTATTCTTAACAAAAGGTTGTCACATTAATTGCTTAGAACAACTGATCTTGAATATGACCTCTTCTTCGTATCATCTTGTGGTTTGCAGTAGTTATTGCAAACAGTTATTGCAATATTGTTGATATATATATATATATATATATATATATATATATATATATATATATATATATATATATATATATATATATATATATATATATATATATATATATATTGATAAATTGCAACATATTTCTTATTCCTCTAATTTACATATTCTTGGATTATCATTTACTATGAACATCTCTTGGAAATCATATGTGTATTTGATTGCAAAGTTACCATTACATTTGAAGTTAAAGTTACTGCTAAGGTTATTTCTCTTTATTGTGTTGGTAATTTGTTTAATTCTTATTCCAATCTCTACTTCTACAAATCATTTTTTTGTCCCAGTATGGAATAGGGCTGGTTCTTCTAATGATGTCATTTCTCTTTTAGACAGGGTCAAAATAAGTATCATTAATGTAGTTTGACCTTCTAAGCCAATGATTTGCCAAGCTTGAGCCACTAATTCATTGTTGTAGGTTTGCATTATTCTCTATTTTACAAATAATATTATATATATTATATATATATATATATATATATATATATATATATATATATATATATATATATATGTATATATATATATATATATGTATATATATATATATATATATATATATATATATATATATATATATACATATATATATATATATATATATATATATATATATATATATATATATATATATATATATATATATATATATATATATATTATATATATATATATATATATATATATATATATATATCAGCTCTTGGCAGTTAGGTTGGCAATGCCGACCTAACTGCTAACCTAAAAATGTTTTAGGTGAGTAAAAAATTGACAACTTCATTCCTATGTTTTATGGTAAGATCTTTGTATATATATATATATATCAAACTTTTTTTGCTGACCTGATGCGGACTACTAAAAGACTGAGATCAGCAAATTATTGCCGACCACACTTTTTCTAATTCCGAGGCTTGATATATGTATATATATATATGATACTTATATATATATATATATATATATATATATATATATATATATATATATATATATATATATATATATATATATATATATATATATATATATATATATATATAATATTGGATATAATAATATTATTTTAATTTTTTTTTAAACATAATATTTTTTATTTAATTAGATTTATAATTTTAATTTGTAGGTTAGTATTAAGTTGGTATCAAATTTGTTCAAATCCATGGATAACTATTTTTTAGCAACACAATTATACAAAGTTCCTAGTGAAAAACAAACTACAGGTGAAACAAAGCAGTTTAATTTTGTATTAAAGAAAGATTACCTGAGTAGCTTTAGCAACACTTCGATTGGTTCATCTGATGGTGGTTTTATTCTTCCAGATTCTAAAGATATGTTTGATGAGTCTGTTCAAAACTCACTAGTTCTAATTAATGTATGGCTATTAACCTTGATTAGATTTTTATGTGGGTGTGTGCTTGTACATAAATATGTATATGTATATATATATATATATACATACATATATATATATATATATATATATATATATACATATATATTTATATATATGTATATATATATTTATATATGTATATATATACATATATAAAAATATATATATATGTGTATATATAAATACATATGTATATATATACATAGATATATATATATATAAATATATACATATATATATATACATATATATATATATATATTTTTAATTTTAATTCACCTCCTCAAGGCCGAGAAGGCCACTACAGATGAGGAGGCTACTTATTTTGTGGCTATAACCCTCTCTCAACTCTATAACTCCGAAACACGAACCTTGACAAACAAGGCCGCTGCGCGGAGAAACGAGTTGAGCGCGGTACTACCAGAGACGGGGTGGGGATTGAACCCAGAACCACTCATTTATAAAGCGAGCGCTCTACCACTACACCACTACCTACACTTAAAAAAACTTAAAATGTTATTTAACTTCAATGATAATACACGTAAAAACTTAAAATGTTATTTAACTTCAATGATATGTAAGACTCTTCATTGAATTTGTCTTCATTGTCAACAAAATTTAGTTAAAATCACGTTAAACTTTCTCAACTTGTTAGTCACAAAATAATATTTATTCCATGACAAGCCCATAGGTTGAACACATTTTAGAAAGTAGTTGTGATATTAGTAGAATAATTAAAAATGCTATTTAAAATGCTTTCCTTTTCATTATGTCTGTACTTTTACTTGCCTTTTTTAGTAAACAACTATAAATAAATTTTTTTTGAATCAATAAATTTTGATGATAAATTAAATCTAAAAAAGTTATTATAAACATTAAAATATTCTTAATAAATAAATAGTTTTTTTCTTTTTACAAACTAATTATATATAATTTCTTAAATTTTTGAATAAATTTTGTATAGAATGTTAGAATGAAGATTATGGCATACACCTGGGATTCTATTCGATCACAAAACATTCTCTCAGAAACTCAAAGTCTTTCTTTTTCTGATGTGAATGGTCATCAAATAAATGTAAACAACAGTTCACAACCAATAAAAATTATTATCAAAAATATTCCAGAAAAAATGACTGGTAAAAATATATCTTTATCAATGCCTAATGATATATATCAAGTTAAGCTACCAATAGCATTAGATTGCAATTTACTTCTAAAGTTTGCAGTTAAAAATGATGAAAATAATTTAACGAATCTCATTGTTTACCTCCAGTATGGAAAAATTGCATCAAAACTAGATTACGATATTGCATTGAATATTTCTGCTAAACATGGCATTGTCATGACGAAAAGTAGTTTACCTGTTTCTAATACAACAAACAATGTTAGCATTAATTTTTCTAATGTTTTGGTAAGAAACCAAGATGCTTATCTTCTTGATGATGGCACATTAGTATTATGGAATTTTTCTAACTCAACATACTCTTTTCTTAATAAAACTGAATTGCATTTATTGTTTTCATATGTTGGTCCAATACCTGATAAAAAACTAGATACAAATCCATATACTTTTGATGAAGCAGAATCTTATGGGGCGTTTGACTATGAAATGAAATCATTTTGCGCAGAGTGTAATTATTGGAATGAAGATGGTAATAAATGGATGTCTGATGGATGTCAGGTAAAAGTTATTAGCAAAATATGTTTTTTTTTTAAATTTAAATGCAATTAAGATGTTATTTTAAAAATCAAAAAATTTTGCTGTTGCCAGAATTTTATCAAGAAGAAATCAATTTTTTTTTATTTCTTATAAAAAAACAAATTTTTTTTCTAAATATAGATAAAAAAAATTTATTTACTATAGCAATTCAGAATTATATGGCGTTGTTATTGTTGTTTTTGTTGTTATTGTTGTTGTTTTTGTTTTTGATGTTGTTTTTGTTTTTTTTGTTTTTATTGTTGTTTTTGTTGTTATTGTTGTTGTTTTTGTTGTTGTTGTTGTTTTTGTTGTTTTTGTTGTTATTGTTGTTTTGTTTTTTGTTGTTGTTGTTGTTGTTGTTTTTGTTGTTATTGTTGTTGTTACTGTTTTTGTTGTTGTTGTTGTTGTTGTTGTTTTTGTTGTTATTGTTGTTGTTGTTATTTTTGTTAATGTTATTGTTGTTTTTGTTGTTGTTTTTGTTTTTGTTATTGTTGTTATTATTTTTATTACTGTTATTATTATAGTATTTGCTTTTGTTTTTAATACATTTTTTAAATTATCATTTTTACCAGTTTTAGGTTTTATTTGTAACATGATAATCTTATTAAATTAAATTTTATTATACATCAACTAACTTACTTAAGTATTTTTATTAAAATTCAAAAATCCTGGAAGCCATATAAAATAGCCATATATCAAATTAACTTACTCTTCACTCCTGGAAACCATATATAAAATTCATTGTAAAATCAGCCCTGCAGGTTGTGTTTTATTATAAAAATTATTAACTTTTAATAATAAAAAAATTTTAATGGAAAAAAAATCATTTTGAAAGAATGCCAGAAAGCTAATAATAATATAAATAATGATGAACAACATAACATTGAGATAAAAGTTTTTAACAAGAGAAAATTTTTTGTGATTTATTTTTTCTTTAAAAAGTCTTTCATCTTTATAAGTAGATTACTTTATGAAGATCAACTTCCAGAGATGCCTTAAATCAACTTAAAATAACTTTTTAGTTTATCAAAACACAAATATGATAGATATTTTAGTGTTTTTATTACAAAGAATACAAGTTTATTTGCACTTCACCTTGCATGAAACTCCACTGGCAACATGTTACTAAAATAGTCATCAATTGTGGCTTAAGTATGTACATCATCTAAGGTTAGTATTTTACCAAGTGCTAGATACATAAGACTTTTGAAAATAAAAAAAAAATAAAATCATAACTCTTTATTGATTTTATAACCATACTATAACTTAAAAATTTTAGTTATTTGGTATTTTACCTGCACCATATTCATAATGGTTTTTTTTAACTATTATAATTTTTTTGTCTAAATTAAACTTTTTGTTATTTTAATTTTTAAAATTAAAAAAAAAATTTAATTTTTGTTTATGGATTTTGTTAGTTTTGTTTATTTACTTTTTGCTTGTAATCTACATAAATACTTTCATATTTTTTTGTTTCACTCAAAAGTTTTAAAAAAAATCAAGGGCTTAAAAATTACTTAACTAATTTAATAATTTTATTATTCAATAAATTGGAAAAAATTTTTGAAAGTTTTGACAAATAATTATTTAATAGAATTTAAATGAAAAATGTGACAAAAACTCCTTGAGTGTCCTGGAAATGTTCTTCAATTGTTTAAATTTTGTGGCCACTATGTAGACAATCACTAGTAGGAAACAACGTTTTTTTGGGGGTAAAATTTGCCAGTCATGTCAAGCCCTAAGCTGTCACAAAAGATTCCTTATTGACTACCAGTTCTAAGCAAACAAAAAGTGATTATATTTTAATTGTGTCATCAGCAGATAGAGCCACTTTATAAGTAAAATTGAAGATCTGTTGTACAAATGAGGAGCAACACAGTACCAAGGATGGAGATTTTTGGTATCCCAGATGTGACTGAGATTTTAAAAAGAGAATGTTGTCCATTAAAGACAACTTTTATACCAGGATTATTTTTCAGCAGGCAGGAAAAAAGCTTTTATATAAACACTTTTTAAATAATCTAGAGAGAATTAAAGATTTTTTTCAATAGAAACATTATTATTATTGCAAAAAGACTTTTTTTAATCAAAACATATTATTGTTACAAAAACACTTTTTTTTTAATTAAAACATATCATTGTCACACAACTTTTTTTCAATTAAAAGATATCATGGTTAAAAAAACACAATTTTTTTAATTGGAAACATATTGTTGTTACAAAAACATTATTTTGAAGTTGAAACATATCATTGTTAAATATAGGATTTCAACTTATTGCTATTATTAATTTGTTTTGAAATTTGCATTATTAGTATAAATAAAAAAGTTATGAAAAAAGAAACAATTCATTATTTCATTGATTCATTCTTATATTATATTTTCTATTATTATAAGCCCAATCTATAAAAAAGAGTTGGTTTAATCATTTTTACACCTAACTATATAGAAATACTAATTGTTTAGAATACACGCAAAATGAAATAATTTATTTTTTAAAGTCTAATATTATTGCTGGTTTGCATTTATAGACATTCTTACGTGGGTTTTTCTTTTTCAATAATTATTTGCTTTAAAAAAACTGCGTGATCTAACTATGGATCTGAAACAAAAACTGACATTCAAGTTTTTATCATGTTTTCCACTTTTATCACTTACTTGTACCCTTGAGTACAATCATTGATAAGATTGTTTCTAATTTAATTACTGATAAAATAATTTCAGGAAATGCAACAACTTTTGTTTTGGATCAATCCTCATGGATCTCATTGGATCCTCAAATTTGTATTTTTTCAAATTTTTAGCAAATAACTTAAACTTTTTTTTTATGTAGTACTATAAAAAAAACTGGCATTTTAAATAGTAAACCAATTTATAAATCAGTTTATTTATTATTTTGCAATGCACAATGAAACAAAAATGGAAATGTTAAGACAAAATGTAGTTATTTAAATAAATTTAAGTTTCATTATATTGCTTGAAATTTTGTTAATGGTTAAATTTTTTAGTTTTTTAAAGCCTCAACATTTTTATTTAAAATTTTCAGTATGATGTTCAAACCTCAACATTTTCGCTAACGAAATGTAAGTGCAACCATTTGACAGCTTTTGGTGGTTTTTATGTGGCTCCTAACACCATACCAACACCTTCACTTGCAAAGTTAAAGCAAGGTTATGTTCTTTTTGTTACAGTTGGAGTTATTATTTTTCTTTGGATACTTGGTTTAATATTTACAAGGAAAATGGATAAAGAAGATATTTCAAAGGTAAATTCATTTTTGTATTCAACTTTTTAAGTTTTTTACAAAGAGCTATTAGCAGTTCAATAACCATAAAAATCAGTTTATTTTTAAAAAGCTAAAAGAAATAGTTTAAAAGTAAAATAACAGCTTATATTTAAAAAGTAAATCCATTATAGATTGGCGTTTGTCCACTGCTTGATAATCAAGCTGATGATACTTATATTTATCAAATAACAGTTAATACTGGTAGTCGAAGAAATGCTGGAACCAAATCAAATATCTTTTTTACTGTTGTTGGTAAGTTGACATATATGCCTAATTTTAAAAATTAGATAAGTGATATATATATATATATATATATATATATATATATATATATATATATATATATATATTAGCAGTAAGCAATCCGTAATACGCGTTGTTAGTAAATAAAATTTAAAAAAAAAACATGTATAGAAAAGCCTAGAAACTACTTTAAAATAGAAAAGCCTAGAAAATGATGTAACTCGACGTAATCACTTATCTAATTTTTTTTTTCCATTTTACACAGTGCTTCATAAATACAGGCTCATCAGAAATTCATTTCTTTTCAAACTCTGTGTAAAATAAAAAAAGTTGGAAAACCATTTTCTACTAATTTATTATTGCTCTGTTTTGTTTCAGAACATTGAGTACTCTATTTTGTAGAATACATTTAAAATTATTTCTTCATTGTGTGTTTAAGAAGTAGCAAGTAAATTTTTGTAAAAAAAATAACGAAAAATAAAATAAACTTAAACTAAAATGAAAAAACTAAAACTAAAACTTAACTTAATTAAATAATAAACTACAACAAACAAGATTATCTAAGTTACATTTGGAATAAATAACTTTAAATCGTTTATCTTTACTAATGTTTTTATAATATAATATTATGCAAAATCCTTTTTAAATAAAGTAACAACTTACATCTAAAAATTGTTTAATATATGCGCACATTTAAAAGTTAAAAAAATAGAATTTTAACAATTCTTTGCAGTAAGGTAAACAAATGAAAAAATATTTTAATCGTTTATTTAAAAAAATGATGTCATTTTTTTTAAT